AAATGTTAAACAGTGAAATCTTATTTCTGCTTCAGCCTAGATACAGAATGATCCGTAAGATGATGTGGAGTTTACAGTGTTTTGATCTTGTCCTTGCTTAAATGCATATTCTTATTCAAGTGATGTATAGCTCAGGGTTGAACTGATGATGCTACCTGGCCAGGTAATGAAACATCCGCAAGCAAACAACCAGGCTCAGAAATCAGCAAGGATTTCTTTTATTCTTAGGCTATGATGATGCAATTGTATGAACAGAAAAAAAAAGTCTGCAATCCTGATGGCATATTTTATTTTAAAGCAATAAAGAATTCTGTACAAATAATCTTAACGATGAGCATAAATTTATTGAAACTCACTGCAATGAATGAAATGGTATAATTGGAAAAAAAAAGACATCCATGTTAATATTTACAGAGTTCTGTGTGAAGTTTGTTTGTTTTTTTTAAATAAAAAATATGTGTGGAAATAACTATTGGTATCTTCCTAACTTTTAATAGGTGCTGGGCATCTGAACTACATGAATCCGCCTGAAATTTGGTGTGCTCAGCACCATAAAACCTTAAACTAGAATACCTAATTATTAAACATTACCAGAATGTTTAACTTTGAAAATGTTTCCTCCAGGGACACTTTCTTTATTGGAAAAGATATTTTATTTAATCATGTCCACAGGGAAATCTTGACGATTTCCAGAATAAAGAATAATGATATCATTTCAGAGGTATTGGGAAATTTCGCAAATGCAATTAGAAGAGAACTCATAAAATCAGCAAATTTCTCAGGAAAATGCCATCCTTTCACATTGATAAATCAGAGGAGAAAATGGTTTTAATTTGGTTGGTGCTGGAGCTGCACGCGTGATACTTAGTTGTCTAATCACAGGTCTTTCAGAGGGTAGAAAATGTATCAGATCCTTACATCAGTTTCCGTTTAACAGCAAATTGCAGTAGCTGTAAATAGCATTCTTTGAAGATGTAAGAAAACCTCCTATAATGATATATGTTGATGACACAGTGTTGCAGTGGTGGGATTCAATTTTTTTTGCTATTGGTTCTGTGGGCATGGCTTGGTGGGCATGGCATGGTGGGCGTGGCTTGGTGGGCATGACAGGGGAAGGATACTGTAAAATCTCCATTCCCACCCTACTCCAGGGGAAGGATACTGCAAAATCCCCATTTCCTCCCGATCAGCTGGGACTCAGTAGGCAGAGAATAGATGGGGGGCAGGGCCAGTCAGAGGTGGTATTTACCAGTTCTCCAAACTACTCAAAATTTCTGCTTCCAATTCTCTAGAACTGGCTGAATACTACCTCTGCAGTGTTTTCTTCATATATTGATGACTTTAGGAAAATGTCCCTGCTTATTGATATAGACAGTCTCTTGTCTGTTTGCTTAAACCATAAGAAAACAAGGAAATGGATGGGCAGATATAATAGTGCAGAATGGTAATTTTATATTTGGGATTTATGGGATCATGGATATTAACCTCAATTATGAAGCATAACATTACAATTGGTTTTTTTCTCCAACATTTTTTAAAGCTCAGAATTACTTCTCCGTATTAGTAAGATCATACATCAAAGGAAAGAGATTTTCCACCTCTTAAAACAAGAAGCATTTGAAAAGTGTAGTTTTCTTCACTGAATTCAGTTCAATCTCTATCTTGAGTAGGAGAAGTATTTTTGCTTTAATATATATTTTTATTTGGAAATAAACACTAATCTTTTCTAGGGTAATTTAAACTTTTAAAAAATAATAGCATGTTCATTGCCCTTATCATCATATGGTTTTAAATATAAAATAAATATTTAATATTAATATAAAGTAATAATTTTATATTAATATAATATTGGTAATATTAAATATAAAAGAAAAGAAAATAAACCATGGTATTTTTTTAAAACATGGAAAAGAAATCTGGATTGGAATGTTGATTGGTCCTGAAAAAAAATTAGATGAAGCAAAAAATGGTGCATAATTTCCTGGTCCTGTAAACTTTTGTTTTGTTAGCAACAGGGGTGAAATCCAGCAGGTTCTGGGGTACCGTTAGTGGAAATTTTGAGTAGTTTTGGGGAACCGGCAAATACCACTTCCGGCTGGTCCCAGAGTGGGGTGGGAATGGAGATTTTAAAATATCCTTCCCCTGGAGTAGGGTGGGAATGGAGATTTTACAATATCGTTACCCTGGAGTGGAGTGGAAATGGAGATTTTGCAGTATCTTTCCCCTGGAGTGGGGTGGAAATGGAGATTTTGCAGTATCCTTCCCCTGCCATGCCCACCAAGCCACACCACACCCACCATGCCACACCATGCCCACCAAGCCACGGCCACAGAACTGGTAGTAAAAAAAATTGAATTTCACCTCTGAAATTCAACAATTACAATTGCCAACAATTGTTAGCAACAATTATTGGGTGAAACAACCCTTAGCAAGGGAGGATGATGGCGTTGTGGAAGGGACTTTTTTCCATTTGACCTTTATATAATGTGTCATTTTGTCCTGCAGCGCAAAAAGAAGGCACATTTGACAGATTTGATGGAGCAATAACTTGACAGACGTTTATTGTTTGTAAGAATGCTTTTTTTTTTTTTTTTGAAATGGTAGTCTTTTCATGTTTTGGTCATGATGAGATAAGATGGCACAGAAGTGGCCACTGGATACATTAGTTGAAAACATTTTATTTTAGTTAGTAACTTATCTCTGTTTTTAAACTGAAGCTCAGTAACTGGTTGCCAATATAGCTGATGGTATCTGTTTGTTCAGAATGCTAGTGGAGGTGAGTCACATTCACAGCCCATTTTTCTGAATCTATGGTGAATTCATATTGCTTTATGGGCTCAGTACAAGATGTTGATTTGATTTGGGAACAGAAGCTATTTTGTTATTAACTGCAGAGTGAGGTTGCCCCCTCAGTTACAGTAGCAATGGGTGCACCATTGGAACAGTAGTGGGTTTCAAATTTTTTTACTACCAGTTGTGTGGGTGTGGCATGGTGGGTGTGGCATGGCTTGGTGGGTGTGGCTTGGTGGGCATGTCAGGGGAAGGATACTATAAAATCTCCATTCCTACCTCACTCCAGGGGAAGGATATTGTAAAATCTCCATTCCCACCCCACTCCAGGGGAAGGATACTGCAAAATCCCCATTTCCTTCTAATCAGCTGGGACTTGGGAGGCAGAGAATAGTCAGAATTTTTACTACCGGTTCTCCGAACTACTCAACATTTCTGCTACCGGTTCTCCAGAACTGGTCAGAACCTGCTGGAACCCACCTCTGCATTGGAAGATCTGGAAGAATCAAGTTAGGGACGGATTGCTTGGAGAAAATCTATCTACCGTATGTGTGCTAAGAGCCAACAATTCTTGAACTATAATCAATAAGTCAATCAAAGTTATCTGTTTTGTTGTACCATTGTTACCATCTGCGCCTTTTTAGACTATGTCCACTTGCTTTGTTTTGTCCCAAGTAGCTTTTAGATACATTAAAAAATTAAAAAAAAATTATATGCTAATTGTAGAGTTTTAAGAAACTGCACCCAGCACTGGTATATGCATACCAGTCCTGAGAAGAGCCGACTCCTGACTGCTAACAGACTTGCTATCAGGCCTGAAAGCCCAATGCAAGAGGAACTTCAAGCCTTGGAGTCTTCTTTCATTGGGGGTGTTACTTAGAACCAGGGGTGAAATGCTCCTGGTTTGGACTGGATCGCCCGATCCAGTAGCAATGGCAGCGGGTGGTTCGGAAAACCGGTAGCAAAAATCCCTGCCCCCCCATGCCCAGCTGAGCCGTGCAATCATCAGAGGCTTTCTTATTATTTTTTAAAGCATTTTTTAAAAATTTGATTTATATGCCGCCCTTCTCCGGAGACTCAGGGCGGCTTACAATGCATTAAGCAATAGCCTTCATACTTTTGTATATTTTATACAAAGTCAGCTTATTGCCCCCACAACTGGGTCCTCAATTTACCTACCTTAGAAAGGATGGAAGGCTGAGTCAACCTTGAGCCTGGTGAGATTTGAACTTACAGTAATTGCAGACAGCTGGTGTTGATCACAATGCTTTTAGTCTGCTGAGCCACCAGGCCCTCAACCTCAAAGAGGTTTTCTACAACCTCTTTGGCAGAAAAAATGCTTTTAAAAGTAAAAAAAAAAACAAAAACCTCTGATGATCACGCGGCTCAGCTGGGATCGTCAGAGGCTTTTAAAAGTATTTTTTCTACAATCTCTTCAGCAGAAGAGGTTGTAGAAAAAATGTTTTTAAAAGAAAAAAAAAGCCTCTGACGATCAGGCAACTCAGCTGGGATCGTCAGAGGCTTTTAAAAGCATTATTTATTTATTTTACAAAAAATGGTTTTAAAAGTAAAAAAAAAAAGTTGGCCACGCCCACCCAGTCACATTATCCCCCAAGCCATGCTCCCAGAACTGGTAGTAACAAATTTTACATTTCACCACTGCTTGAACCCCTGACACTTGCTGTGTTCCAGGGCTAGAGAAACAGTCACATTTGCTTTATTTCTCACGGCCATCTTTTTTCCAGGAGCTCAAGGTGGCTGGCATAATTGTTGTGGCTTCCATAATTGCTGGGAAAATAAATTTTCCCCATAAAGGAGAATATTTAGACCTCAGGGTTGAAATGAAGGATCTTAGGTGCTCTTTGAGTTTGGTTGTTTTCTTGCAGATATTTCATTACCCAAACTAAGTAATATCATCACTGATGCTGTTACCTAGTTTGGCTGGTAAAACATCTGCAGGAAAACAACCACGCTCACAGAGCACCAAGGACCCCTCAATTTTTCCCCATCTTATCTTCATAGCAGTTCTACGAGATAAAATAGGCATCACCCAAGAGAAGGTTAACCGTGATTTGAACCTCACTAGAGTCTTATGGTGCCCTCATTTTGATTAGGACAGACAGCAATTATCTTCTAGGAGATTAAGTTAAACTAATAAACATTAAATTATTAAATTCTGCAAAAGCTATTTTAATAGGACAGAAGAAGTTGTGTTAAACAAGTATATTTTTCCATAAATATTTCTGAACCGCTTGCTTTCAAGAGGGATTTGTGAAAATCTCTTATTTTTACCTTCTGTGTGGCTTTTTTTCTGAATTCTTGATTGGTTTTTCCAAGTTGAGACTTTAACACCATTTGTTTTCTGGAGGAAATATTGTTGATGGGAGAGGGTGTTCATAATAAAATGTGCAGGTCCCTCCAACCACACTTTTGCTCTGGAAAAATGAAGATTTCTTATGAGTTTTGTATAGTTATCTGTCTGAAAACAGTTGTATTCTTTTAATGTTTTCTCTAAACTAACAGATCAGGCCTGCAAAAATTGCAGTGACAACTAGATAGCAGTAAAGAGAATAGAAAACACTTTGCTACCAACTAGTGTTCATCAAATTTCTGTATCTGAATCAGTTAATTCTAATTACTTTCAATTTCTTAGAGATATTTCTTGTCTCTAATGAAAATGTTCGCAAGCCTATGATTTTCCGTTTGGATAAACCTTAGTTCAGATTATATTTTCATTTCTCCTTAGCACCTGGGCAGATTTTCCTTCTAAGATGTAATAATAACAGTAGATCTGAGTGTATTTGCACAGCTGAGAGGATAAGCATATATTAAACAGAATGAAAAACAATGATTGTGCTTGTAAGTTGATGAAAGCATTGAAGATTTTTTGTCACTCAGACAAAACAAGTATTGAATTTTACTTTGAAGAGCACATATTTAAATGCTCTCTATAAAATTATAATACTTCTGTAAAAGAAGAAAATGACACTTTCTAAATTGTAAGTTATTAATGAAAATATATGTCTTTTTTAATTCGATGAAGAAGTAATAATTGTTTTCAGGTTTGCCTTTTGTTCAGGCTCTTAAAGGTCCTCAAAAGTAAAAGTACCTTAGGAAGAATCTGTCCCCTTTCCTATGGCTGTTGTGTAATTAGCATCATGATACATTTGACCTAAGAATTTGCCACTGAAAAACTGTCACAAGTGAAGTGATTATGAAGGTATGGTTAGGTTTATCAGATGTCTGAGTAGGCAAAGTACAATTGGAAAAGAAGATAAGTAGGGGAAAAGAGGACTAACTGTTTAACTTGATATCCATGACAAAAATTACAGCAAAAACACTAAAAATGTACTTTAGGCCTACATATATGTGGAATTACTGGTTTTCAACAGCAATATTTTTTCAACAAATCTTTATTTTCAAGAACATATGCTGGTAATAATATTGAATCAATGATGATGTGCTTTTCAAATTTCACCATAGAAAGATATGATGAGTCATGTGAAATACAGACTAAAGTAATCCTATAGTTGAAAGGACTAGACTGAAGCTGATTGCTGGAATCAGAAAATTAAATAACATTAAGTCTAGACTGTCAGGTGTGTCAACAGATATTTTTCAGCTCTGTTTTTAAAAAATACATCCATTTAAAAAAATAAAATCAGTTCAAATGTTGCACAAATAAATATTTTCTGCATATATCTATATCTATATCTATCTATCTATCTATCTATCTATCTATCTATCTATCTATCTATCTATCTATATTTGTCTTCTTAAGTTTTCGCGGGTGTGCATATGCAAAAAATTAAAATCTTGGGTGTTTTCTCGTGTCATTATAAATAAGTTAGTTAAACTGATACGCCAGTTGCGCCCCTTTCTAGATCGGGACTCCCTACGTACAGTCACTCAGGCACTCGTCACTTCCCGCCTGGACTATTGCAACGCTCTCTACATGGGGCTCCCCCTGGGGTGCACCCGGAGGCTCCAGCTGGTCCAGAACGCGGCTGCGCGGGGGATTATGGGGGCGACGAAGCGCTCCCATGTGACACCTCTCCTGCGCGAGCTGCACTGGCTCCCGGTGGTCTTCCGGGTGCGCTTCAAGGTGTTGGTGACCACCTTTAAAGTGCTCCATGGCTTAGAGCCGGGGTACTTACGAGACCGCCTTCTGCCACCAATAGCCTCCCACCGGCCAGTACGCTCACACAGAGTGGGCCTCCTCAGGGTGCCGTCCACCAGACAATGTCGGCTGGCGACCCCCAGGGGGAAAGCCTTCTCTGTGGTGGCGCCCACCCTCTGGAACAACCTCCCCCCAGAGTTACGTACAATAACAGACCTCCGGATTTTTCGTCGGGCCCTGAAAACCCATTTATTTCAACTAGCTGGGCTGGCTTGAGTCAAATTTTAAATTGATTTTAAATTGGAACAGTTTTAATTACGGCCAAGATATTTAATTATTTTAATCAGTTTTTAGATTTTGTATGTTTTGTATGTATGTCTTGTTTTTACTTTGGCTGTTCACCGCCCTGAGTCCTATATTGGAGAAGGGCGGTATAGAAATTTAAACAAATAATAAATAAATAATAAATAATAAAATGTTTAAAATTCTGGTTAAAATCCTAGCTTAAAATCTTCCAAAAATCCTTACAGAGCACTCTGCAAGGTCCTTTAAAACCTTAGCTAAAATCCTACCAGTACCTTAAAAGTTTTTCTTTCTAGCAACGTTTCGACAGGCTCACAATATATATATGCAGAAAATATTTATATATATATATATAAAGTTTATTGTATTGTACCTATATACATAGTATACCCATACAACGAAATTCACATCACCCAGAGACCAAGCCCAACACACATGACAATCCCCAAACACACCCACCAAAAATTCCCCACCCCTAAACCACTCAAGCATCCACACAACAGACCAAGTAATGCTGTCCAACAGTTGACTGCTGATGGCCCTTTAGTTCATTGTTGAGTGCAATTATAGCTCTGGGATAAAAACTATTCAGAAAACGTGTGGTCTGAGTTTTAATTGTTCTGTATCATCTGCCAGAACATCCAATATCTAATATCACTTTGTTATTTGATTTCAGACAAATTGTAACATACTGTATAGCATTTGATAATGCACTTTTCCCTTGTTTTCCTAGCTGATAAATTTAGAAGAAGACTTGAGGAGCTGCATAAAGAGAAAAGTTTGCTGAATTTTCAGCTTCCTTCACAGCATCCGTCCATTAGCAGCTTCTTGGACAAGTTCAGAGTCTACATTCAAATGACATTGTATGAGGGAGTTCATAAGTAAGTGTGCAAGAACCTGATGCCTTTCCACACAATTATGTTGAATTTATGAACTCAGGATTTTAAGTCTGTGTATGGTTGAAAATAGTGGGACACTGTATAGGTTTCTGTGTGCTGATCTGTACTTAAATGCAAATAAATTTAGGGTTAGTGTTAATACCACCTTATAATGCCTTGGTGCGGTCACACTTGGAATACTGTATCCAATTTTGGTTGCCACAATGTAAAAAAGATGTGAGACTCTAGAAAGACTGCAGAGAAGAGCAACAAAGATGATTAGGGGACTGGAGGCTAAAACATATGAAGAACAGTTGCTGGAATTGGGTATGTCTGGTTTAATGAAAAGAAGGACTAGGGGTGACATGATAGCAGTATTCCGATATCTCAGGGACTGCCACAAAGAAGAGGGAGTCAAACTATTTTCCAAAGCACCTGAGGGCAGGACAAGAATCAATGGGTGGAAACTAATCAAGGAGAGAAGCAACCTAGAACTAAGGAGAAATTTCCTGACAGCAATTAATCAGTGGAACAAATTGCCTCCAGAAGCTATGGATGCTCCAACACTAGAAGTTTTAAAGAAGAGATTGGACAACCATTTGTCTGAAATGGTATAGGGCAGTGATGGCTAACCTTTTCCGGACCAAGTGCCCAAAGCGCGCATGTGCGCACATGAACGCATGCACATGCGCCCAAACCCCCCAAATGCAATGCACACGCCCCCCGCACAAATCCCCATGCATGTGCGTGGGTCCCATACATGCTCCGCCCCCATGCATCACATGGCCCCCCATATGTGCCACACTCCACATGCATGCATGCGCAACCCCCCCATATGTGCCCCCTGCATGTGCAGCAGAGACACATGTATGTGGGGTGATGGTTCGTGTGCCCACAGAGAGGGCGCTGTGTGCCATCTCTGGCACGCATGCCATAGGTTCGCCATCACGGGTATAGGGTTTCCTGCATGAGCAGAGGGTTGGACTAGAAGACCTCCAAGGTCCTTTCCAACTCTGTTATTCTGTTAGCACAGTCTGTATATAGCAGTGATGGCTAACCTTTTTGCCATTGCGTGCCAGGAGAGGAGGGGGTGGGTCGCGCATGCATGTGCCTAAGCGCATGCACGCGTAACCTTCCCCCCCCGCTTCTGGCACATGATGGCCTGGTAGGCCCGTTTTTCTTTCTTACCTGGTTCCAGTTCCTCTCTATTTATCTGGGAAGGGTGAAAACAGCCTTTCTCACTCTCTCGGAGGCACTCCAAAGGCCTGAAATGGCCCATTTCCCAACTCCCGGTGTCCCGAGGCTGTCCCAGCCTCCAGAGCCTCTCTAGGAGTCCCTAGGAGCCTCTCTAGGAGTCTCTGGAAGCTGGGGACAGCAAAAAAATCACTTCCTGTCCCACCGGGAGTCGGGAAATGGGCCCTTTCAGCCTTTGTAGGGCCTCCAATGGAGTGGGAAAGGCTGTTTTTGCCCTTCCCAGATAAATAGAGAGGATCTGGAGCTAGGTAAGAAAGAAAAACGGGCCTTCCCCACCCCCCCTCCAGAGGCAGGAAACAGCCTGTTTCCCTACTTCTGGTGGGCCCAGAAGGCCCGAAAATCAGCTGGCCGGCGCATGCATGTGCCCCAGAGCTGAGCTGGCATGCCCACTAATATGGCTCTGTGTGCCACCTGTGGCACGCGTGCCATAGGGTTGCCATCACGGGTATATAGGAATCTGAGCTGGGAAATAAGATCTTCCTTTTGCCATAAAGTGCTTTAAAGCAAAATACAATATTCACCTTAAATTTCCTTTCTGTCATAGTGGGTTAATTTTGACCCATTTTCTGAGTGTTAATGTAGGTGGTCTGTTTTGAACAGTATGGGAGCACAGTCTAGTGGGAGCACAGTCCATTGGGAAAAAGTTTACTGGCAATCTTTATTGAAATATACGTGCAAGTCCTAGAGATTTGAAATTGGCTTGTACAATAGAGCATACCAATGGATTGTATTTTTACTAATTTACCAATGTATAAATAGTTACTGAATTTAATCTGAAGAGCTGTCTTCTTCAATCAATTGCCAAACAGTTTTGTTAAGGCTATAGCTTCCATAATTACCATCCGGCAAATCTAAGAATTGCATTCCTGTCACTTGTGGAAAACTGCTTTAGAGTAATTTTTAGATTAGTATCCATAGCAAAATCCCGAATTTATTTATTTTATTGTACCTCTCCTTAATCACCTGTGCCAGAAATGATAACACTGCAGTCCATTACGACTGATTTAGCTTTTCCCTTCTCTCTCCGAAAAATTAATAGTTGTGCTGAAAATAGCAAACATCCACACATTTTTCATTGTGTCTAAATCCTTCTGCTGGATTTGCTGTCTAGTGGGCTATTGGCAAGTGAGGCACTGACATCAGGAAACCTTAAACTGAAGACTTTTTCCAACTGATTAGTTTCTATACAAATTTCCTAAGTAATTTGTCCAAGCATAGGATTGAATGTTGAAACTCATTGGAGTAAATACCGGAGAAATAGAAGACCACTTAGCTGCAAAATTGATAACAATTTTTAAAAAGTACTCTGGAAATCATATGCATGTATTGCAGCTTAATTTATTCTTTGAAAAACTTTCAAATATTCCCAGAAAATCTGGGCAATTCTGATGAAGAGATAATGGTGCCTTGCTCGTTTGAGCTGAGCAACCACAAGTTAAAAAGTCTATTCATAGAACTTTTCTTTGATAATTATTATTTGTTTTATTGGCAATAACATTAGAAGAAAAATATGAGAACTGGAATTCTCTATTATTTTTTCCCCAGGAAAAAATAAATGTTTGTTGTCATGACCATGAAATACAGGTAGTCCTTGACTTACCACCACAATCGAGCCCAAAATTTCTATTGTTAAGTGAGATGTTTGTTAAGTAAATTTTGCCCCATTTTACAACCTTTCTTGCCTCAGTTGTTAAATGAATCACTGCAGTTGTTAAATTAGTAACATGGTTGTTAGGTGAATCTGGATTCCCCATTGACTTTGCTCGTCAGAAAGTTGCAAAAGGTGATCACATGACCTTGGGACACAGCAACGGTCATAAATATGAACCAGTTGCCAAGCATCTAAATTTTGATCACACGATCATGGGGATGCTGCAAACGTCGTAACCAGTGGTGAGTTTCAAATAATTTAACAACTGGTTCTCTGCCCTAATGACTGGCTGGGTGGGCGTGGCCATGGTGGGCATGGCCAGGGGGTGTGACAGGTAGCACTCAGCCTCCTGCACCCCCCCGGAAGCAAAAACGGGCCATGAGGGAGGACGCATCACCCCCGTGCCTCATTTTGGGCCTAGTAGGCCTTCCTGAAGCCTCCTGGGAGCAAAAACGGGCTGTGGGGGAGTGTGTGTGTGTGTTGCACTCCCAGTGCCCCATTTTGGGCCTGCCTAGTAGGCGTCCCTGAAGCTTCCCAGAAGTGAAAATGGGCTGTGGGGAGCATGCTGCATCCCCACACCCCGCTTTAGGCCTAGGAGGCCTACCTGCACTTACCTGGGAGCCAAGATGGGGCGCATGGGGACTACTGGAAGGGGTGGGGCGGGAAGACGTGGACCCAGTCAGCAATTTAACTACCAGTTCGTCTGAACTGCCCCCAATCAGCTGAATCCCACCACTGGTCGTAACTGTGAAAAATGGTCAAAAGTCACTTTTTTCAGTGCCATTTTAAGTTTGAATGGTCACTAAACAAACTGGTATAAGCCAAGGACTTCCTGTGTTTGGTCACTGGGAAAATATCTGAAACTTGTGAATCTGCTTCTGAGTTTATATCTGTACTTTTTAAATTTGTTGACTGCCCATAAATGTTTTCTTACTTACTGATATGAAGATTATAAATAAGTAGGGCTTCCTTAAATATTAAGAATATCGGAGAGGGACAAATATATATAAGATGGCCCCCTCTGCGCACCAGACAAGATCCGATCTCCTGCTGTGTCTATTCTGCCTGAAAGACTACTGGATGTATTCAACTGTTGGCAGAAGAGTTGAATCATGTGGTTCATTATGAATTGTATTTGGAGTGATTTTTGTTCTTTTCAGGCCTTTGTGTGTTGGTTTTTAGAATAGCATATTCAAAAACATGGATATACACCATAAGTGTAGAGACATGGTGGCTCAGTGGCTAAGACACTCAGCTTGTCGATCGAAAGGTTGGCAGTTCAGTGGTTCGAATCCCTAGTGCCGCGTAATGGGGTGAGCTCCTGTAACTTGTCCCATCTTTTGCCAACCTAGTAGTTCGAAAGCACGTAAAAAATGCAAGTAGAAAAATAGGGACCACCTTTGGTGGGAAGGTAACAGCGTTCTTGTGTGCCTTTGGCATTTAGTCATGCCGGCCACATGACCACAGAGATGTCTTTGGACAGCGCTGGCTCTTCGGCTTTGAAATGGAGATGAGCACCCTCCCCCTAGAGTTGGGAACGATTAGCACATAGTGCGAGGGGAACCTTTACCTTTACCTTACAGCATAAGTGGAATATGTTGCCAAATAGGTGAGAATAGAAAGTGTAATCATGCTACCAAACAGTTTATGAAGAATGATTAGATTATTTATCTGATGGCACTGAATGAAATTAATAGTCTAGTTGAGAAAAGATTTATTGGCATGATGGATTTTCCTCAATTAAAAGAGGCAACTGTATCTTACTGTGTAACTAGGACATCGATCATCTACACAGAAATATCACAAAATTGATTAAACATTTTTAAAGCTATTTCATAAAGCTCTGTACCCTTATTAATCAAAGACTTTTACTTTTTTCTGCAGAACAAACCATTGGCACATACAACATGGCATTGTGCCATGATTTAAGAAGCAATAAATTATTGCTAAATGATAGGTGAATAAATATACAAGGTTAAGCATTCTAAATTGACATATTAATTATTATACTGATTCTCAAGGAAGTCAGTAAGGCAATAGCTTGCATTTATTCATTTGCCTGTGGTCAGTAATTGGCTTATTTTTGGCAAAGAAAATGGTATGATACACATACCATTTAATCTCATCACTCCTTGTCAGTTGGAATGGTATCATTTTCTGTTTAAGATTATCAATCAGAAAGATATGTTCTTTTTCCCCACACAGTTGTTGTAGAGCAGGGGTGCCAAATCTGGCCCACAGGGTGCTTATATCTGGCCCGTGAGGCTGGTCTGGAAATAGCAAAGGACCGGTCAATAGTGTCTCTGCTAGCATAAATGGGGTGCAGGCAGGGTGCCCCCATCCCCGCAATCGCTTTTGGCCTCCGGAGTTGTCCAGGAGGCCTTCCAGGCCCAAAACGGGGCCTCTGGAGTGGTAAGTATTGAAAAAACAAAATCACAGAAATGTACGCCTCCCTATTTTTATAAGTTTATACAACCATGTCTGCGGAGGTGCGGTCCCATGTCACACCCACCATGGCCACACCCACCATGGCCACGCCCACCCCACCTGGCCCTCCAAAATCAAACCCAATCCTGATGTGGCCCTCAATGAAATTGAGTTTGACATCCTTGTTTTAGAGCCTGATTGTTTGTTTTCTTCCTCACAAAGTGCACAGTGGTTTTGGGTACATTTCTTGATTTTACACATCTTACATTAATTTGATCCACTTTGTCCACTTCTTCTTTGGGGTTTTCTTGCAAGGAGCTGCCTTCTGGAGCAGATATGGGCAATCTCTTGGCTTTTCCATATCCGGAGAAGTGTTGATGAAACCCAGTCACCAGTTTCTACCTTAGCATCATCTCTGATCTTTGGAGACATGTCAGTTCACCATTTTTCTCCACCTGGAAACCGTTTAGATATTGTATTTTAATCAAGTAATGGCAACTTTTGTCCAACTCCTAAAGCAATTTACAACAACCGACTGCTGAAGTACTATAAAATACATATACATGTTCAACCTTGATCTGATTTTGTGTATTCAATAAATGAAGTATCATTGTGTGGATAGAGAGTTTTCTCTACTAAGTCTTTTCGCTGCTAGATATTTAAGAAATAATTGTTTATTTAGCCTTTCTAACTCCATCCTGGTATTCTACAGATATATTGGACTGTATGTTGAATTTCTCATCACTGTAGTCCAATACACTTGGAAGTCACCGGATTGGGAAAAATTGTAACAAACATCATTATGTATATTCATTAATATTTATAAATGCTGTAACAGGGAAAGGAATCTTCCCCTTGAAAAAAGTGATCAGAAGATATTAAGCCTTCCTTACCATGAAAGGATACAGATTCCAGGTACAAAACGGGATCAGCTGCTTGAGGAAAAGAAGTGGATACAGGTAAGCAGAATATGATGCACTTTGTGGGATAGTATTGTCGAGATTGCATGCACAGATAAACAAATACACTCTTTAGCACATATTTGTTATTATATGTCAAAAATCCCCAGTAAACCCACCTATTACTTGGGGGGGAAAAAGGGAAGTTGCAGTGGTGAAATGTAAAATTTGTTACTACCGGTTCTGTGGGCATGGCTTGGTGGTGGTGGGTAATGTGACTGGGTGGGCGTGGCCAACTTTTATTTTTAAATTTTAAAAACATTTTTTCTATATTTTCTGCATTCTTAAAAATGCTTTTAAAAGGCTCTGACGATCCCAGCTGAGCCACCCGATCATCAGAGGCTTTTTTTTTTTACTTTTAAAAGCATTTTTTCAGCCGAAGAGATTATAGAAAAAATGCTTTTAAAAGTAAAAAAAAAAAACCATCTGATGATCGTGCAGCTCAGCTGGGCATGGATTTTTGCTACCGGTTCTCCAAACCACCCTCTGCCATCGCTACTGGATCAGGTGATCCGGTCTGAACCGGGAGCATTTCACCCTGGGAAGTTGGGACCATAAGAATTAAGCAAATCTTTTGAAAGATATGTGGATATTCAGAGTTCAGTTTAGCAAACATGTTTTTATCTTACAGTATTATTTTTCAAATGTATTTATTAATCTCTCTCAATTTTTCTTTTAAAAAAGTCTCCCTAATAGCTTGATAGACAGAACTATGCAATCAATATGGCCATCGGTATTTATTTATTTGCTTGCTCGCTTACTTACTTATTAATCACATTTATATGGCCGTACAACTAACTCATGGTGACTCTGGGCAGCTTACACCATTAACATTCTAAAATATGAAAAAGCTATATAAGGGAAGGAGAAGGGGGTGGAATATTGCTTGAGTCCTTTTTTTTAAAATTTGATCTGTAATTGTTATTCATTAATTATTTGAACATTACTGGAAAAATTCCTACCAAAATGGTATTGTTGCCACTGGCACAGTTTCTACTTCAGTGTTAACAATTCTATTCTTCTGGCAAAATAAGCAGTATCTTTAAAGTTTATTAACAGTACATTTAAGCTAGAAGAATTGACTCAAAATATAAGCTGATGTTTTAATAAATGACTATGTAGAAATACAGATGGCATTTCAGAGTTTCTGTTCTTTCAAAAAGAAGAAGCCACAAAACAAGCAAACAAAGATCACTATATCAAAAAGGGAGAATATTGGTAGCTTAGGGTTGAAATGAAGGCTCCTTGATAGCAATAGCAATAGCACTTAGACCAGAGGTGGGCTTCACATAATTTAACAACTGGTTTGCCAGAATCAAAAATGTGAGTGTGTGCGCACATGCGCACTGTGTCAAAAACATGGCGATTGTATAGGACGGGATAGTGCCGTGGCGAGTGGGCGGTCCAGCTGCTGGCCGTAACTACCCATTCGCCCGAATTGGTCTGAACCGGCTGAATCTCATCCCTGACTTAGACTTATATACCGCTTCACAGTGCTTTACAGCCCTCTCTAAGTGGTTTACAGAGTCAGCATATTGCCCCCAACCATTTGGGTCCTCATTTTACCCACCTTGGATGGATGGAAGGCTGAGTCAACCTAGTGAGATTCAAACTACCAAATTGCAGGCAGCCAGCAGTCAGCAGAAATACCCTGCAGTACTGCATTCTAACCATTGCGCCATCACAGTTCTCTGAGATATTCTCTGAGTTTGTTTGTTTTTTTGCAGATGTTTCATTACTCAAACTAAGTAAGATCATCAGTGCTGACGGGAGTGGGATTTGTTCTCAATTTATAAGAAAAGCCACTAGAATATAAATAGAGAGTAAACCCAATGGTGAAATCCAAATTGTTTTACTACTGGTTCTGTGGGCGTGGTTTGTGGGTGTGGTATGGCTTGGTGGGCATGACTTGGTGAGTGTGGCAGGGAAGGATACTGCAAAATCTCAATTCCCTCCCCACTCCTGGGGGAAGCATATTGCAAAATCTCCATTCCCACCCAACTCTGGGGCCAGCCAGAGTTGGCATTTGCCAGTTCTCTGAGCTACTCAAAATTTCTGCTACCGATTCTCCAGAACCTGTTAGAACCTGCTGGATTTCACCCCTGAACAAACCCCATTCCCTACTAGCACTGGTGATGTAACCTACTCTGGGGAAGAAAACAGCTAAGCTCAGAGAGCACAAGGACCCCCTCAAATATCAATGTATCATCATGAGTCAAAGAATCCTACATTTTCTTCCTTTTCTGACATTAATACTGATTATCATCATTTAATTATTATCAGATGTTCAACTGTAAGATAGGGGTTTTTTTTTAACCTCATTTTATGAAAATAAGAGTTTATAGATGTATTTTCCATTTGAAGACTATTGAATTTCTGACATAATTCCTAGATTGATCGTACAGAGAATGAATGTGTTTGGGCTACAAGCTTGATTTTATACTCAAAATAGCAGACCTGATGTCCTGATGACCTCTTTTATCTTCTTGACAGAGGTTGAAGCATTAGCTAGCCTGTTCTTTTCCTACTAAATCTTTCAGGCAGGAGAATAAATAGCATATATCTGAGGCTGCATACAGTAAGTGTAAATTGAATTTCTTCAGCTAATTCATTGAATCAAGAAAAAAAGTGGTTCATCCTGAGATACTGAATATAACTGCAAAGTTAAATTAGCGTTTAAATTTTGGCTTGACATCAACAATATGCTTTTTCAAAGTAACTGCCTGTTGTTATTTTGAATTCATGCCTTTATCTTGTAATTTATATGATACGTAAAATGCAGCCTGGAGGTTTTTATGAAGGTTGGACAACCATTTGTCTGAAATGGTACAGGGGGTTGGATTAGAAGACTTCCAAGGTTCCTTCCAATTTTATTATTCTATTATTCTATTCTATAATTCTGTTATTCAGTCCTAAAAAATGTAGGCCGCACAGAAACTCTTATAAAAATTAGTGGATTAGTGGACGTTAACTATACCAGCGGTGTTAAATCAATCAGCAAGTGTGAAACTTTGGTCTTTTAAAGGGATGTTGAATCATTTATGAACACCTTAGCTTAATGATGAATCTGGACATTTTAAAAGCATGATTTGATTATGGGATTTTTGTCTCAGTACATATTGCCCATCAGGTGAAGAGGGCTGATTTGATTGATTGGCCTGATCTATAAATGCTTTCCAGTCATACAGGACAACAATATGGTCATATAACTCAAGTATATGTGAAAAGGATTTGAGTTTCTCTTACGTAATTTGTATTATTTATTGATCAGTATTTTCCTTGATAAAGATATACAATAAATCAAAATAGAGCTGAAAGGGGCCTTGGAGGTCTTCTAGTCCAACCACCTGATCAAACAGGAAACCCTATACCATTTCATATAGGTGGCTGTCCAGTATTTTCTTAAAAACCTCCAGTGATGAAGCATCTACAAGGCAAGCTGTCCCACTGGTTAATTGTCCTCACTGTTAACAAGTCTCTACTTAGTTCTAGGTTGCTTCTCTCCTTGATTAGTTTCCATTTGTTATTTCTTGTCTTGCCTTCGAAAAGGAAAATATGTTGACAGTATACACTATATTCCATCTCTGTGCAGAAAGAAATTGAAGTTCTAAGAACAAAGCTGGTTGTTCTGGAAGCTAAAGATCAAGAGTTAAGGATAGAAATTGAAGAACAAGACCGCCATATTCAAGAGCAAGATTATGAACTGTCTACTTTGCTCAGCTGGGTGTCACTCGAAGAACTGCAGGCAATTGGCAAAGCCTTGGCTGATATTTTGGTGGCCTCCCATAAAATTCCATACAGGTTGGAATTTCCAGAATCTGTCAAAAGGTATTCATTTCGTGGATTATTTGTTTTTTAAAAATGAAAATCTGCTTTATACCTTTGCCTCTTATTTTTCATTGTATTATTCTACATTTAATGAAGAAACATATATTAAGAAATATAGTCTTTAATTTTATATCCCAGTTCTTAGAAAATTGCTGTATGTATCAGAGTAATGTTTTATTTGGATTTGAATTTCCTTTAATGATAGCCCCATGAAATCATTCATTTATTAGAATATTAGAATTCTAGTGTTAGAAGGGCCTCTTAGGCCAATGAACCAAATCCCCTGCTCAGTATTGTAACCCAGATTAAATTATTCCAGATAAATGTTTGTCTAGTCTTCTCTTAAACCCATAGAATGAAAACTTGCCTACCACCACTTTGGGAAACTGTCTCTATCATCAAACGGCTCTTTGTTAATGACTTCTCATTCAGTGAAAATTAAAACAAAGCTGAATGAGTGGTACTTATGATCGGTCCACAAAATTCCAGCCATCCCAGCAGGCCTGTAGTCACATCATTGTGATCTGGGTGCTTGGCAACCAGCTTGCACTTACGATGCAAGCATCCTGTGGTCATGCCATTTGCGACCTTTCCTTGCCAGTTTTCCACAAGCCGTGGTGGCACGGTGGTTAGAATGCAGTATTGCAGGCTAATTCAGCCGACTGCCAGCAGTTCGATCCTGACCAACTGAAGATTGACTCAACCTTCCATCCTTCCGAGGTCAGTAAAATGAGGACCCAGATTGTTAGGGGCAATAGGCTGACTCTGTAAACCGCTTAGAGAGGGTTGTAAAGCACTGTGAAGAAGTATATATCATATTTTTTGGAGTATAAGATGCACCGGAGTATTTCAGAGGCTTTTTTTCTGAAGCTTCGTTTCGGAGGCTTTTTTTCTGAAGCTCCATTTCAGAGGCTTTTTTCAGCCTCTGAAAGCTCTGTTTGAGAGGCTGGGTGGGGCTACATTCAGAGTATAAGACGCACCCAGATTTTCACCCGCTTTTTTTTTGGGTGGGGGGGGAAGGTGCATCTTATACTCTGAAAAATACAGTAAGTCTAAATGCTATTGCTATAAGCAAATTCAATGAGGAAGCTGGCAGGGACTGTTGCAAGAGGCTCCTTTAAGTTGCTTGCACTCTAGTGGCTTTCCCCCCCAAAGATCCTGGCTATGGAGTATGAGATCACAAAGAGGCAGCCACCTGTATATCATCCCTCATCTGGCGGCAGTCACGCTAAGTCCCACATGTTTGCATTGTACTGCACAGCCATTTATCTGACTGCTGCCCTGCTTGCGAACTGCCTGTTCGTGAATGGCTTTTCCATTGACTTTATTTTCTGGAAGCCAGCAGGAAGTTACAAGGAGGTTCTCACTTAACGATATTGATTCTTGCTTAATGATGGCAATGGGAACTGCCAGGATTGCTGTCACTAAGCAATGCAGTCACTTGACCTCACATTTTATGACTTCATCACTCAGCAATAGAAATTCCAATTGCAATTATTGTTGTTAAAACAAGACTACTTACATTTTTAAAAAGTGTTTTTTTAAAAAGAAACATGCAATTAGAATATGTTTTCCTATAGCATAAATCGATTATTCTGTGTCTTTGGAATGAGAGTGCAATCTTAACATGGCTTCCTGCACTGTGCAATCTTCTTGTGGTTGAGAAGATTTGGTTTAATTTTGAAATGGCCCATACATTATGTGTATTGAGGAAGGTATTGTTACTTCACTTTACTCCTAATTGTGCTGCACACACAAAGCACCTGGTAAAACTGTCCAGAGTTACAGAATGAGCACAGAGAAATTCAATAAATAAATATTATAGACTTAGACACTTCAAATAGACTTCGAATAATTTTATTGTCACTTTCAATCTACACTAATCGGCTATACTAATACATTAAAATGAAATTTCATGGCATACAGTTCTCAAAGGATCACCACCTCCAGTATACACTACATAAACATGTCAAAAATATAAATAAATAAATAAATAAATAAATAAATAAATAAATAAATAAATACCCACATATATTATATGAGCTCTGGTAGCGCAGCAGACTAAAGCACTGTTATTAACATCAGCTGCCTGCAATTATTGCTAGTTCAAATCTCACCAGGCTCAAGGTTGACTCAGCCTTCCATCCTTTCTAAGGTAGGTAAAATGAGGACCCAGATTGTGGGGGCAATAAGCTGACTTTGTATAAATATATAAAAGTATGAAGGCTATTGCTTAACGCATTGTAAGCCGCCCTGAGTCTTCAGAGAAGAGCGGCATATAAATCAAATTTTAAAAAAATGACACAGAGAACCAACGCAGTCTGGTTTGTATGTATAAGTGTACATGGCAAAAAACCCCAGATGTTGCGAGTTTACCAGACAGATGGCATAGGGCAGGGGTCTCCAACCTTGGCAACTTTAAGACTTGTGGACTTCAACCCCCAGAATTCCTCAGCCAGCAAAGCTGGTAGTTGAAGTCCACAAGTCTTAAAGTTGCCAAGTTTGGAGACCCCTGGCATAGGGAACAAAGCTGCTACAGAATCTGGTAGTCCTGCTAGAAACATCTGAAAATGAAATTCTATTGGAACCCTTCCCACAACCTCCTTTTTATTCCAATGTCATATATTGTATGTAGATTTTGTACCTGAAGTGTATGGAGATATGATGTTTGGCCCATCCGAACACTTTGAGTTATATTTTTTATGCCTTAGGTTTCATATTTTGGAGGATAATAAGCTCCAAACAAGAAAGGAATGTCTTCTCCATACTGCTAGAATTGCAGTAATATTTCTAATCCAAACATTGCTTGGTCATTTATATGTTTGGAATATTCAGGTGACATTTGGGACAGTTAGTTAGAGCTGTATTCGATTTTTTTTGTAGCTTTCTTTTTCTGCAGGAGCTCTTTGGCAATTGTTTTCCTTGATAGCTTGCTGTCATCACTCTCTTTGGTTTAATAGAGCTTTGCTGTTGCCTTTTCTATTAACTTGTCCTTGAGATGTGCTTATTTCTGTTTTTTTGCTAATTCATGTTGAAGCACAGTAATGTTGACTGTTCTGCTTTTCCTTTGAAGACACTGCATTCTCCATCAAGTAGTACACTATTAAGTGTCTTTAAGCCCCCTGCCCCCCCCCAGCTCCGTTTGTTCAATTGTTGGATGCTCTATTTTTAGTTGGATTTAATGACTTTGATATATGACTTACATACCTGATTTATCACACTGTGAAATAACTAGACCAACATGGATACTTCCCATAGTATCTTCAAACAACACAATATGCACAAGACCTAAGAAAAATATTCTCTGCAAATCCTGTATCAATTTAATAGCCACAAGTATTTAAATCCAGGCAAATTTTCTAGAGAAAACCATCCAGCTCCGAACAAGAGTAAGAGAAAAGGCTCTTACAATCAGGAATACCCATAGATTTGACTAAAATATGCAAACTATTATTTCCACTTTTAATTTTATTTTGGACCCTTTTACGCTTCATATCAGAGACTTTTTGGTAATTAGGTCCTGGGAATTCAAAGGTTATTTCCATAAGCTGTCATTTGCACACTTGAAATCCTGTGGAACCATTCAAAACCCAGCAGTGATATTCTCACTGTTACTTGATATCCCACATCAGTTGATCCATGCAACCTGTAGAAGAACACGACAGATGGTTTTCCCCTAGTTCCCCATGCCTCTTTGACATTCAGTGCTTTTATTTGGTGCATTGAAAAAAAAAACATTAGTGCTTGCAAAGGGATACTAAACCACCAAACTGCTCCTTGTACTGATCAATTAAGTAGTAAGGAGCTAGTGAGATACAAAGCATCTTATTCTGTTAGGGCAGGAGAAGATTCATCCAATAAGTGACAGAGGTCCAATGCTTCAAGAGGAAAATTCCATGTGTTTTTCCTCCTGAAAGGCAGGAGGAAGCACATGGCTTCAATTGCCAAACAAAGAGGGAAGTCTGGAGTCAAATGAGTACAGAGCTCATATTCCTGGGAGCAATATGAATGCTTCACATTGAAGCGCCCAAGAGACATTTCTTGTGCTCTCAGCATCTTTTAACGTGCTCATGTGATTACTGAAGTCTGAAACATGGAATACAATATCTTTTCATCTCTATTCATAATTTATCTAGAAAACCAGACAAGATTCACAGATCCTTGCTTAAATTTAGGAATCCAAATACATTTTTATTACTTTTCACTTCATCTCCTCATAGAATCAAAATGATATTCTTCTTCTTCTTCTTCTTCTTCTTCTTCTTCTTCTTCTTCTTCTTCTTCTTCTTCTTCTTCTTCTTCTTCTTCTTCCTCTTCTTCTTCTTCTTCTTCTTCTTCTTCTTCATCACCCTCATCGTAATGCATTATTTAATTTAATAATGTATTAGACTTATATGCTGCCCAACTCTCAATGACTCTGGGTGGCTTTCAAAATCAAAAAAAAGGCAATACAATACAATCAATAAAAGGTGAAGATAAAAGATGGCAAGCGCAGTGAAGCCAGGGATCAAATTGTTGCTTGCCCAAAGCCTGGGTGAAGACCTAGGGTTCATGATTCTTCTAAACAGCACCTGAGAAGGGTTTATCTAATATAGCAACAACAGCAATACCTTAAAAAGCTATTCCTTAAGTTATATAGTAGTAATTGGTAGCAAAAGTGAATACTCCAGTATTGAATCTAGTGCAGTGATGGCTAACCTTTTCCGGATTCAGTGCCCAAAGCTCGCTTGTGCGTGAATGCGTGCATGCGCCCAAACCCCCAAAATGCAATGCATGCATGGCCCCCATCAATGCACCTTGCCCCCATGCATGCATGCGGCCCCCGCATGTGCCACACCCCTACACGCCTCCTGCCCCCTGTGCATGCACGCACCCCCGCATGCACACACCCTGCTCCTGCGCATGCATGCCCGCCCCCTGCACATGCCCCACCTCCCGCGCATGTGCAGCAGAGACCCAATGACCAGTTGGCAGACGGGAGGCGCTCACGCATGTGCAGCAGAGCTGAACTGGGGCAATGGCTCGCATGCCCACAGAGAGGGCGCTGCGTGCCACCTGTGGCACGGGTGCCATAGGTTCGCCATCATGGATCTAGGGTGTTTTCTGCTTATTCACAAGATACAATTTATCCAATAAATCCCATTGCTGTTTAACCAGTAAAGTACAAAATAAACCAAGTGATATTATAGTTAAACAGTTTGCTTGTTAAAAGATAGATAGATAGATAGATAGATAGATAGATAGATAGATAGATAGATAGATAGATTTTTCGTATTTCTATGCCGCCCAACTCTCCGAGGACTCTGGGTGGCTTACAACAAAGACAATATGAACAATATACAATAAGAGACGTTAAAAAAAAAACCCCATACACACTGCTCATGGCCGGATCTCGCAAGATCGCAGTGGCAAGATCAACGGTCCCAAGCCGATGAGAAAATACAGAGAGAAAATTCACAGGTAGAAACTGCAAGCGCTTAAGGAGTTATTAGATACCCTGATGGATTCATGTTGTGATGCTGAAGGGCAAAGAAGCCATTTCACTCTTAATAGAATTTTGCTATATACTTTTCATTGATGTAACTTTCAGCAAAGAGAAATCCCCTGGAGTATTGAATTTGTCCTCTTTCAAAGGAGTTGGATTAGATCTGTTTTGAAGGTCATGCCTTTTAATGACATTTGGCGAAAGATTTCAAGTCTTTGGAAGAGTCAAGAGTCTTCATTCTCATTTTGTTCCTTGATAAGCAAAGTCCAGTTCTTTTTTTTCAATCCTCATCAGTCTTTTCCCATTTCCCAATAGCTTATAGTTGCTTTATTTAGTATGCTGTATGGAAGAATTAGTTTCCAGATTGATAAAAATTTGAAGCAACTTGCTGCAAACAGCAAGCTTCCCTGTTACCATTATGGAGAAAGCCTCTTTGCTGGATTACGAGAAATCTTAAAACAAAATCTAAAAGTCTGTATCATAATATATTAATATAGCAATAGCAATAGCACTTACTTATATACCGCTTTACAGTGCTTTATAGCCCTCTCAAAGTGGTTTACAGAGTTGCCCGCAACAATATGGGTCCTCATTTTACCCACCTCAGAAGGATGGAAGGCTGAGTCAACCTTGAGCCTGGTGAGATTTGAACTGCCAAATTGCAGACAGCTGGCATCAGCAGAAGTACCCTGCAGTACTGCACTCCAACCACTGCGCCACCGCGGCTCATTAATATTTTATTTATTTTATTTTATTATTCATATTTCTATGCTGCCCACTCTCCGAGGCCTCTGGGTGGCTTACACCAAAGACAGTATACTAAATAGCATATTGCCCCCAACAATCTGGGTCCTCATTTTACCCACCTCGGAAGGATGGAAGGCTGAGTCAACCTTGAGCCGGTGAGATTTGATCCGCTGATCTGCTGAACTAGCAGTCGGCTGAAGTAGCTGCAGTACTGCACTCTAACCACTGCGCCACCTCGGCTCAATATATTAAAGGAAATATATTAATTCTAAATTGAAAATAATTTAGTTGCTGGAATCCTTATAACCTCATTCTATTCATCTCAATAAATCTTGTTAAGAAGAACCTGTGCATGGAAAAGTATCATTTTCACTCCGGAGCAGCTCTAAAAAAGCCTGACCATCAAATGCCAAGGAAATAAGGAAATCCAGACAGTTTAAATGAATATAAAGGTTTATTGAAAGTTAAGCTCTCTACAAAAATCTGAACTACTAACAGTCCAAACAAATTGGTGGTAAATAAGAGTCAATGGAATTCAAGATGGGCTGCACTTAGATTTCTTGGGGGCATGAAGGGACTTGAAACTGATGATGTATTTGACCACTCCCTTGGGCTCAGGCTGGTCATCTACACTGATGGTGAGGGTGAGTGGGAGGAAAAAGAGGTATGATGTTTCCTACACTTCTGCTTTCTTTTCCTCCCCCCTGGTATTATTTGAAAGTTGGTTGATACGATTTTTAGTGACTCTATGTTGGGGAAAAATTAGGAAGGACAGGATGGATCATATACTAACCTGTGATCAGGGATCAGCAAAATTGCTGTTTTCTAGATTTGCCCCTTACTGTGCCAAAGCTTTGATTCTTATTACCTTTTTATCCTCATTTTCCTTTAAAGAGCTTGAAACAGCAGAAGAGGTTATCAAATGATTTTCTATCTGTAATGGTAATGGATTGACCCTGGGAAGCAAGAGGAAGAACCACAGACTAGACAATAGTCATCAAAGAGGCAGCTGAGCCCACAGAAGGAATGTACACATGGCAAACATCTCAGAAGGGTCCCTCCCTAGTTTCTTTCTTTCTTTCTTTCTTTGTATCTCTCTTTTATTATTTTTATTAATATCTCAAGGCAATGAACATCTCCAGCACATTTTCCTCCTCCTGTTTTTCCCCACAATAACAACCCTGTGTGATGAGTTGGGCTGAGACAGTGTGACTGGCCCAAGTCACCCAGTTGGCTTTCATGACTAAGGTGGGATTTGAATTCGTGCTCTCCCATTTTCTAGCCTACTGACTTAACCACTAGACCAAATTGGCTTCTTGGATTATAGAAGCAAGAGGGGGGACAGACTTGCAAGGATCTGTTACAGTAGTTTAACCTTACAATAAAGTTAGAGCTAATATTTTTTGGTGGGCTTCTTGCTTGAAGTACCTTGCAAGGCTACCTTCTTGGTAGGCAAGCTGCAATCAAAGGGCTGCCATATCACCTGATCAGAAAAAGCACAACTCTTATTACTGGGGAGACTTTTCCTGTTGACAATGTGATCGGCCTGACTAATGAGAAAGTCATCCCCATTTTTTTGCTGACATTAATGACAAAAAACAAAATAGTCTTAACTCTACCAGCCCATCAATCACCTGATAAGCGGTAACTTGATCACTACTGATTGGGTTCCTGGGGCAGCAGAAGCTTACAATCAGGAGTGTCTTGTTGAGGAGAGACCAGAGAGGGGCTTTGTGGTTAAGGACCAGAGGTGAAATTCACCCGGTTCTATTCGGCTCGGGCAAACTGGTAGCGGTGGCTGCGGGTAGGCTCCGCCCACCCATGTGGACCTCATGACTTCACTTTTTTGCGATGATTTTAAACCTCTGCACATAACGCAGAAGACTTTGCACATGTGCAGACGATGGTGCGCACGAGTGAAGTGAACCGGTAGGGAAGGTACTGTATTTTTTGGAGTATAAGACACACTGGAGTATAAGATGCACCTTAGTTTTTGGGGAGGAAAATAAGAAAAAAGCTGATTGGTGGGTGGATTGGCCTCCTGGAATACTCCCAATCAGCTGTTCCCAGAGGTGAATTTTAGCAAAAAGGTTCGTTGGTTGTGAGCTCTGTGCCTTGCTTTTTTTTCTGCCTCTGAAAGCCTCCGAAACAGAGCGTCAGAAAAAAAGGCTTTTTTTCTGAAGCTCTGTTTAGAGGCTTTTTTTCTGAAGCTCTGTTTGGAGGCTTTTTTTCTGAAGCTTTTTTCAGAGGCTTCTTTCAGCCTCTGAGATCTCCATTTGTGAGGCTGGGCGGGGCTACATTCTGAGTATAAGAGTATTTCACCCTCTTTTTTGGGGGAAAAAGGTTTGTTTTATACTTCAAAAAATATGGTAAACTAATTTCACCCCTGCTATGACGTGTGTGAAGGCTGCACAGGTATAGATGTAGCTGGTTCATCAGCTTCTGACTCTGAATCTTGCAATCTCTATGGTCTGAGGGCCTGCTTGTTATCCTTGCTCTACTGGAAAGTAGCCAGATTTGCAGTGACTAAAATAAGAACATTGTCAATAATGTCAAGTTTTTAAGGTTGCCGGTAATCAGATGCACTTGTTACATTTTAATAAGTTTAGCTGAAGTTGGTGGTGCTTCTGAATATGGGTCTGATGGATTAACAAATGATATCAGATTTTAATACTAATTTGTTATTTCTAGGCTTCAAGAAAAAATACAGTCCCTTAACATATCTATGACAGAAACGGCTGCTGAAGTAAGTACAATGAAACTGTTATTTTCCCCAATACTAATGAATCAGTGAGTTACAGTACATCAGTGAAAAACACCAATCTGCCTTAAGCAAGGCCTAGCAGGTCCTTATTGTTGAATATCAAATTTGGTGATCTTGAATTTAAATTACTGCAACCTGTTTTACATTGGGCTGCCCTTGAAAACGATTGAGTAAACTGCAATTGATAATAAAATGCAACCACACATCTACCAATGGGAAGGGTCCAGTACATTATACATGTCTTTGGGTCATTGCGATGGTTGTCAGCCAGATTTCAGGTCCAGTCCAAGATTCTGGTTTTAACCTGTGAAAACCCACATTCCTTGGCACTTGGACTTTCTCTCCTTGCTGGTCTCATCTTAATCTGAGACAGGCTGCTGAGGTTCTCCACCCTTCATGAATTGAAAGGAGTGAGGATTCAGAAGTACACTTTCTTTGTCACAAGCCCCATGTTAGGAACATATCACCCTGGGATACAGAGAGCCGCAGTCTTGTTCTTCTTTTGAAAGGCCATTTGTTCTGTCAAGTCTGTAATTCCAATATTACTCCTTGTCTTATTTTGGGTGGCTGCATTTTAATTTCAAACTGATAAGCACTGAGCCACTTACTTGCAGTTATTTTTAACTACAAAAGCACTTTATACGACTTCTGAATTTAGCTGCCTTCTTGATCAACAAAGATTTGGACTAATGAGAAATATGGATTCTATTTTAAGAACTATAAACTGTCATAGCTTTGCCCAACATGTCTTGGAGCGAGACACTATTCCAGTAGTTCCATCATGGCATGAAAGGAAAGAATAGGCTAACCTGCTCATCTGGTTCAAGCCTTTTACCTATTTTGATTTTCAAAAAGCAGGGATGCCGCATGCTTTGAATTCATGCCTATAGGAGCAGGATTAGATGTGTACCTGAAAGGGCCTTCTGAAAAGGCTTTCTGATTTGCATAGTAACTATGTGATGCTAGGAAATTAGGCATCTGAAATTAAGGTATTGCTTGTTGGGGCACATCAATGGCTTTTCTGAAGTGCCTTTTTGACTTTGGATCTGAAGTCCAACACATTCCATTCAGTGGTTACTGACAATTAACAAGATATTTGCAGAAAGTTCAGACATTTGCTGTGATTTGCCAGTTTTGGCCTTTTGTTTGAAATATGATCCCACAATATCTGGTCCTCTGCTTTTTTTTTTGATTATTTTTTCTCTGCTTTGCCTGTTGCTAATAGAAGTGCTGTTTATGTTGGAAAGCTGTACCCACTGTGGGGTAAACGATTTGCAGCAAAGTTGCATATTATTTTCAATTCCTCTTGATTGTCCTATTGAAATGATTCATGTCTTGTAACCAAGACAACCTGACATGCCTTTGTATTTCCTTATACTTTTATATGAATGAAATTCATATCAAGGCTGCCTGTCTCCATATAGGTATGTACTAGTCAGAGGCTCTGCAGTACGTTAAGGAAAAAAGTGAGACACATTGATATTCAACTTCCAGCTCTTCTTGAAACGAAAATGCTTGCTGCATCAGGTAATTATTGATGGAATAGAAAGATGCCAAAATGTTTCATGATAGAGAATCCTTCACTAGAACTAAAATTCTTAAAGAAGTCAGGAACAAATTCTTTAAGTCACCGTGGGCTTTTTTTTTTTTTGGGTAAATGAAAATAAAGGATGCAAGGATTAAGATGTATGTGATTTAAATTGCACTTCTCTGTGGAACAGAAGACTTGACAGTTTCTCCTTCTTTAGATCATAAATACTACTATTGCAATGAAGATATTATTCACCTTCAGAAGATCTGACTGTTTACCTCTCTCTCTCCTCTCTCTCTCTCTCTCTCTTTTATCTGTAGCCTTTATATTTATGGTTTTTAATGTAGTTTTGGTAATCTCACAGTTTATTTGTTATGCATTTGATTTTTAAATGTGTTTATTAATTGGTTACACATCATCTTAGATAGGTTTCACTGACTGAGGTGGCTTATAAATTTATTACATAAATTCATACGGTATATGCAAAAAAACCCTCTTAACTAGCCCCTCTTTATAATATCTTTTTAAAGACATAGACATGTCCATTATAGCACATCTTAACTCAAAGACACACTGACTGAAATGAGATTGACTGAAAAGGTGTCCAAGTTATTTTTCCTCTTAGAAATTCCCTTTGTTAGTCGGGAGTTTTTCTACTAGCCAGGCTCAGAAGTCAAAAGAGGAACACGGAAGGATATGAGCATTTATATCCTTCCCAAACCAGGGACTCAGTCACTGTGGTAGCGTGGGGTTAGGCCAATGCTACTTATTTCTTAACATACCAAGTCTAGTGGAAATTCCAAAAAACAATATTTTCTCTGTTCCACTAAAATGCAACAGCATTATTTCAGAAAAAACTAATTCAGTTGGGTTTTAGAAATAATAATAACGTAACATCCCAGATTAAATAATTGATGTTAAGAAAGACAAAAAAAGTCTGGATAGTGAACTTTGTAGCACGTGGATGTAGCAGAACAGATGAGGAAGAATCAGAAAAAATTACAAAATATAAAAATCTGTAAGTAGAAATAGAAGTACAATGACTGTGGCAAAGGAAAGCAAAAATAGTGTTAATATGCACTGCCTGAACACAGACTGACTACAAACAACAGCATGACAAAGTAGCAAAAATGATGCATTGGAAATATCAGCAAGAAATACCATTTGCTTGCAAGCAAGAAGTAGTAAGACCACAAAACAAACAAAGTAATAGTAAATGAAGACTTTTAAGTGCTCTGGGACTTTAGAATTCAATCAGGCAACTGACACATAACATATTAATAGCTGTTGATAAGAAAGATTAAAAAAGTATGAATAGTTGTTGTTGTTAGTTGCAAAGTCGTATCTGACCCATCACGACCTCATGGACAGGCCTTCCTGTCTTCTACCATCCTCTGGAGTCCATTTAAGTTCACGCCTACTGCTTCAGTGACTCCAGTATGAATAGTGGATGTTGCAATTCTTTGAGACAGCAGAATAGAACTGGAGAAAATTACAAAATACAAAGAAATGCAAACAGAGGTAGAGCGACTATGGAAATAGGAAGCTAAGACAGTACCAATAGTAATAGATGTCTTGGGTACAATCCAGTGGTGGGTTTCAAATTTTTTTACTACCGGTACTGTAGGTGCCGTTGGTGGGCGTGGCATGGCTTGGTGGGCATGGCTTGGTGGGCATGGCATGGGAAGGGTACTGTAAAATCTCCATTACCACCCCACTCCAGGGGAAGGATACTGTAAAATCTCCATTCCCTCCTCAATCTAGGAGAAGGTTACTGCAAAATCCTCATTTCCTTCTGATCAGCTGGGACTCAGGAGGCAGAGAATATATGGGGGTGGGGCCAGTCAGAATTTTTACTACCGGTTCTCTGAACTACTCAAAATTTCCACTACCGGTTCTCCAGAATTGGTCAGAACCTGTTGAAACCCACCTCTGGTACAATCCCCAAAGAATTGGAGGACGACTTGAATACCATTGGCACTGAAAAAATTACCGTCTATCTCTTGCAAAAGGCAGCTTTCATTGAAGAGCATATTTCATCCTGATACCTTTAACACCATCAAACAACATCTTCCTGTCCCAGAGCCTTGGGAAGGACTCAGTATGTGGATAAAAATACCAAATCCAATCTTAACATTATGCTGAGTCTATGACCAACCAAATTTGCTAAACTTGCCATCTGATTCTCAACGAGTGAACAAAATCATTCTGAGCGCTATCAACATTTCTCTACCACCCCCTCAGCTTTTCAGGGAACCATTTGCATTTCAAGTGTTGGAAAAGCTTGTTTAATAAGACCTGACAAGTATATGGAGGTGATGAAACCAGAAAGTCAAGCAATGAAACCATTACAATGTGCGGTTTCAATGAAGTATAAATCTGTCAAGAAAAATAAAGAATTGTATTAATTAAATTATATTAACTGTTTCCCAGAAGAATGTTTATTTAGTCTTTTAAAAAAATAAGATTAGAATCCCTTATCATTTGGTGTTTTCTATCACTGGGCAGATTTATGCAGATACGTTTAGAAAAAGAGTCCTCATGTGGTTTTTAAAAAGTGCCAATTTTTGTTACTGTGATTGAGGTCAGGAGTTCACTGCTGGCACTTTAAGAGAGTGACATGATAATTTCTTGATGAGTTTTTGATATTTCATCTCAGAATTGAAGTCACATTTCTTGCTGCCATAAAGTAAAATAATAAGAAAAGCAAACAAGGGCAGATTTGTCTCCAGAGCATATATTAGAGGCAGAAATGCTTATAAATTATTAACTGGGATATGGGGCGTATTTCATCAGCGCTTCAAGTTTTGATATTAAGTTTCCTTCTGGGAATTAATAATCATTCAGTAAGCATAAAACTTTAATAATGAGGAGAGTATCTTCTCCCCGACCTTTCAAAACAAAATAGAGCGACTTCTAATTACAGAATTTTGATTTTGAGAATAACGAAGGAATAAATGCAGCAGTAGATGGCAACAGATTTTCTTGGTTAAGAAAATTAAGTCCAGCTTAGAAGGGTTGTGCCATGGCTGTCCAAATGTTATTGCAGTGCAATATCTGGCATCCCTGATAAGATACTATGGTGGCTAAGATTTATTGTGTTGCATTTACTATTTATTATTAAATCATTATTAAAAATAAAATTATGCATTGATTTATTAAGATCACATCACACTCATGTGGGAAGCATCAAGGTGCTTCCGGGTTGAAAGTGTTAGTTGCTGACATCACCATTACTCAGGGCATGCCCAATGTGGGGAGGGGGTTTCCTTTCTTGTCCGTAGCAGGAACTAGAGTGAAGGATAGCAGCTCACCCTGTTCCATGACAGCACTTGGGTCCTGAATGCATACATGCTGCTTGTTAAGCTAGTATCCTAACCAGTGGTGGGTTGCCCCCGGTTCGAACCGGTTCTATAGAACCAGTAGTAAAACTGGAGGCAGGCTCCGCTCACCGACTCCGACATCATCGGAACGCTTCTGCGCATGCGCAGAAGAACGTGTGCGAACACTTCACTTGCACACGCGGGCGACCCCATTGCAAACTGGTAGTTAAGGTAAGTAGAACCCACCCCTGATCCTAACCATGCAAGCCACTGTGCTCCTAATTTATTAAGTTTATTTATTTATTATTTTAAATATTGTGTTATCACTGTATTACATGTTAGGGATAGATTGTCATGGAGACAATATATCTATGTGGTTTTTAGGAATCAAAACAATTTGATGGAACTCAGTCAATCAATCAGTCAAAAAGGCTTATTGTAGTCTTTAACCATTAGATGCATCCATCTTTCTTCCAGGAACTGAAGGTGGTATACCAAAACTCTGCCTGTGCTCCTGAGCATAGTGGTACTTTAAGATAGCTGGGAGTGAGAGATAGTAACTGCTTGAAGACTCTCAAGTAATTTTCATGTCCAGATAAAGGATTAAACCTGGTCTCCTTTGTTCTATTCTAATATTTTTACCATATCTGTAGACATTGAGGTCCATCAGCATATTCTCCATATAGAATTGTGAAATGGAAACTAGTAATATGATCTGCATCTTTGATCATTTTTGAGGTGAAATATGAGTATATCGGAGTAAAAGGAATCTTTTAATTGGATAATTGTATCACCTGATCCCAGTACCTCCAAAGCATGTGCTTACCGTTAGCCGAGAAGATTCCTATGCATATACTGTTTATCAATAAATCATTTTAATTGGGACCTTCATGTGTGGACCTGGTCTTTCATGCCTGACCTTTTGCCTGGTGGCACTGGCAGAGAGAGAGAGAAAGTGGGAGAGAGAAAGATAAATGGAAGGAGAGATCTATCATCAGGAGTGACCCCCATTATGATTTAGACCTCAATTTGGATTCTCTTATCATGGCATAATCCTTCCTAATATGAAGAGTTTGTGTTCTGAATTTCCCCAGTTTCGTGAGTCAGCATGTTAGAATGTACTTTTTTAATGTATTTGAATCAAATAATGATGTATTGCAGTTGAACAGGTCCTTCCTTTTAAACCATCAAACAAAAATATTTGCATATCCCAGGTCCTTGGGAAGGACTTGATAGGTAAATAAAAATGCCCAAATAGGTTAAAAATCTAGCTGATTGTGCAACCAACCCAGGGGTGAAATCCAGCAGGTTCTGACAGGTTCTGGAGAACCGGTAGCGGAAATTTTGAGCAGATTGGAGAACCGGTAGCGGAAATTTTGAGCAGTTTGGAGAACCGGTAGCGGAAATTTTGAGCAGTTTGGAGAACCGGTAGCGGAAATTTTGAGTAGTTCGGAGAACCGGCAAATACCGCCTCTGGCTGGCCCCAGAGTGGGGTGGGAATGGAGATTTTGCAATATCCTTCCCCCAGGAGTGGGGAGGGAATGGAGATTTTGTAGTATCCTTCCCCTGCCACGCCCAACAAGCCATGCCCACCAAGCCACGCCCACAGAACCGGTAGTAAAAAAATTTGGATTTCACCACTGAACCAACCATAATAACTGTTTATATTTATATTTTAATTGATTGTCAACCACTTTGAGAAAATAAAAACAAGAATGAATACATTAAATATATGCTCATTGCTCAGCTTGTATGTGCTATACAAATGGTTAGCTTTTTAGTTTTTGTAACAGGCTATTTAAAAACGTCAAGGTTTTGCTTCTTCCCTGTCTTTAACTCTTCCTAATCTCATCTTTTGGATGCACAGGAAGTAATTTCTGTACTGCTAAAGACCTAGCAGAAGAAATTAAATCGCTAATGGCTGAAAGAGACCGCCTGAAAGGGCTACTCAATGAATGGTCAACTCTGAATGCCAAAAATATCCAAAAGCTGGAGAGAGTGAAAGAACGTTACAAGAGACTGAAGGAAGAAATGGAGCAAGAGGAGGTTGTATTTGGTGAGTAGAGCAATTTGCCAGCTGTTGGGATGACAGAGGGCTGCCATTTTTATGCAAGGATGACATCCAGTGTTCTGCTTCATTTGACAAACAATAATGTAATTTATATGATGTTTTAAACAAAGATCTCCGATGAGCAATACTGCCGGGAGCGTTGATGTATACCACATATTAAGGGCTGTCAGCTTCTGTCCCTGTTATTCATGAGTGATGTTTTTCGTTGTTGCTTGCTTTGGATATGGAGGTGGCTTTCTTTGTTTTAGATACAACAATAAAAGGTCATACAAAAAAAAAAAGGAAAGAAAAAAAGATTGCAAGAAAGCAAATAAACAAATAAAAAGAACACCCTCTCGTTTCTGGGCTTTTTTTTTTTTCCTTTTTCTGGCAGCCAGCAGACCCTTTGCTGCCCATTGGAAGACTAAGATAGATCTATTTCGGCCTTATAAGGCCTCATCAGTTAGCCACACCCTCATCTCATGTATCCTCCCTGTAAAGGTACAATATCTGTTTTTCTTTCTTTTTCGTTGGTTTTATGTGTATGTCTCTTTAGCCAGGTTCTACCTACGTAAACCAAGATATTATGCAGCCCTAGTTTAGTGAAATCACAATTCACTAGTTTCTGGGCTTTTTTTTTTTTTTTTACAGGGAGGATACATGAGGGTGTGGCTAACTGATGAGGCCTTATAAGGCTGAAATAGATCTATCTTAGTCTCCCAATGGGCAGCAAAGGGTCTGTTGGCTGCCAGAAAAAAAGGGGGGGGGAAAGCCCAGAAACTAGTGAATTGTGATTTCACTGAACTAGGGCTGCATAATATCTTGGTTTACGTAGGTAGAACCTGGTAAAAGAGACATACACATAAAACCTACGAAAAAGAAACCCCATTTAAAAGTCATAGAATAGTCTCAGTATTTTGGTGTTAAAAAAAACACTAAAGTAAAGTAAAGTAAAGTAAAGTAAAGTAAAGTCTAACATAACAAAGAGACCATTTGTTTTTTAAAAAGACAAGTTCTAATATACAACATTTTTTATTCCAAATATCAGTTCCAAAGAAAATCACACCAAATAGCAGCATTCAAGTAAACATCCCATATTTCAGCTTTAAACTATAAACAAATCCATATTTTGCAAATATAAAATAATCCAAGTATCCTAATATGAACAAAAAATTAAAATTTGACATAACAAAGAGAGATAATTTCTTCATTAAAAAGAATAAGTTCACAAAAGTTCTTTTCTTTAACTAAAAAACCAGATACAGAGTCAGTTGTTATAAAATTAGGATTCATAAATTAATTGAAGGAGAAAATTCTTAAACACCATATTACATATAATGAAATATTGTATGCTACATTTTTCCAGTCAAGATATCAGCAAATTCAAATATGCCAATTGTGTATTTTGGTATTTTGTGAGATCGTGGACTGGTGCATAGTCTAGAGCAGGGCTGTCAAACTTGTGGCCCACTGGACGGATGTGTCATGCGCTGGCCACACCCATGCCTAGTTTAGCAAAGGGGAAAAAAAGTCCTAATACGTCAGGTGATGCCGCTGTGATGACACAAATTTGACACCCCTGGCCTAGAGGGAATTTCTTTGAGTGGAATACAGCAGAGTTCACTGCCAAATGTGGCACGGACAGTAATTCTGCTAAAGCAAAGAGGTTGGTTCATGCTTTCTGATATCTTCAAAATTTTAAGTCAAGCCACAAATTAAATTATTCTTCATTCTTGGACTTTCTGAGCCACAGGTTGAGGAAAAGGGGTTCATTATTGCAGGAAAAAAGACTATTTGGTTGATTATGAAAAGAGATAACATGCGGTTAAGTGTATATGTGTGCCAAAATACAAAATCAGTCTTCTCCAGTTTTCATGTAAATATGTGGGTAGATACAGTTGTATATATTGTTATATACACAATTTTAGGGAAACAATAAAATCTTCCCATGCTTAAAATCTAAATATATACAGTAGAAGAACAGCACTGTTTTAAGATTAACAATGAGATTAAGCTTGCAAAAAACATTAAATGTAAACTGCCCAGAGATGCTGGGAGTCAAGTGATCTATAAATTTAATGAATTGTTGTTACTATTAGTTAAATCTTTGCTAATAAAAAAAAAAGTTTTGCAATTTCTGCAAAAACATACCGTCCACAGATTTTTTTCTTGATAATTTCCTTTTGACTAGACTTCCGAACAGCTCTTAAAGGTAGATCTCAAGGATATCACCATTTCCAAAATAAATATACACTAACTCAGTTTCTTATTTTAAAAACTATAGGATTACACTCTCAAATGGGTTTTGAAAGTCGGGGTATTGTGTACAACTATTTTGGGTGGGACTTTCTAGGCATTGTTTACTTTTTAAAAACTCTCATCATCCTTTGATGATTAGAGTATAAACCAATTGCAGAATACACATCTGCAAATGTCCTTTTTAAAAAAAACGAACCTTGAATTCCTTACCATTCTCAAAAAAAAAAAAAAATCTGAATCTGTTGCCTTGTATAATAAAGTGCAGCGGAGCACAAAATGCTGCAAGCAATATAAATAATTAAAGTATGTAATTTCCTTCCCCACCCCCACCTCCCTTTTCACTTTTGCTCTCATCTATAGCACATCTTTCTTTAGGCTACAGTAATTTGTTTTTGATCTAATTATATGAAATGTATAACAATAAATTTAGTGAAAACATGCCTCAGGATTGTAAACACTGACACTTCTTACCATATGCCAATGTCATTTTAACAGAGCTGAGTTTTATTTTTCTTTAAAATCCTTTTAATGGGAATCTTTCTTGTAATACTTTTCCCCCTTTATTTGCTGTCGTTGTTAGTTGCGAAGTCGTGTCCGATCCATTGCGACCCCATGGACAATGTTCCTCCAGGCCTTCCTGTCCCCTACCATCCTCTGGAGTCCATTTAAGCTCACGCCTACTGCTTCAGTGACTCCATCCAGCCACCTCATTCTCAGTCGTCCCATTCTTCTTTTGCCCTCAATCTTTCCCAGCATTAGGCTCTTCTCCAGTGAATCCTTCCTTCTCATTAAGTGGCCAAAGTATTTGAGTTTCTCCCCTTTATTAAGGGTTTCTAAAGATTTCGTACATCTTTGCTTTTGTTCATTTTTTGTTTTAAGGTGTCGCTATATCCTCTGTGATAACTGTGATAGCTTCTAGGTATCTGCTAAAAGATTTCTGAAAGGTAGTATTTTAGTTCTATATATGGTGCTTTCTATATTATAAACTAGGATGGTTCACATAATAATACAGGTAGTCCTCAACTTACAACCCTTCATTTGGTGACTGTTTAAAGTTACAATAGCATTGAAAAAAGTGACTTATGGTCATTTTTCACACTTATGACTGTGGCAGCATCCCCATAGCCATGTGATTTACATTTGGATGCCTGACAACTGACTCACATTTATGACAATCACAGTGTCCAGGGATCATCTGATCCCCTTTTGTGACCTTCTGACAAGCAAAGTCAATGGGGAAACCAAATTCACTTAACAACCGTGTTACTAATTTAAGAACTGTGGTGATTCACTTAAACGTGGCAAGAAAAGTCATAAAATGCATAATTCACTTAATGAATTTCTCTCTTAGCAACATACATTTTGGGCTCAATTGTGGTTGTACGTTGAGAACTACTTGTACACTGGTTTGCCTCCAGGTCCAATTCAAACTGTTCGTTATCACAACAACATGCATATTTGCCTTTATTTGCTGGTTATCAACTTTAAAACCCTTCATGGCATGAAATCAGCTTATTTGAGGAACCATCCCTCCCACCCAGGGGTGGGTTCTAAAATTTTTTACTACCGGTTCTGTGGGCTTGGCTTATTTTGTGGGCATAGCTTGGGGGGGGGGGGTTATGTGACTAGGTGGGCGTGGCCAACTTTTTTTTTTTTTTAACTTTTAAAAGCATTTTTTCTACAACCTTAAGAGGTTGCAGAAAACAATGCTTTGAAAAGCCTCTGCTGATCAGGCAACTCAGCTGAGATCGTCAGAGGCTTTTCAAAGCTTTTTTTTTTTTACCACCTCTTCAGCTGAAGAGGTTGTAGAAAAAAAATGCTTTGAAAAGCCTCTGACATTCCCAGCTGAGCTGCGGGATCATCAGAGGCTTTTTTTTTTTTTTTACTTTTAAAAGCATTTTTTCGGCCAAAGAGGTTGTAGAAAAAATGCTTTTAAAAGTAAAGAAAAAAAAAAGCCTCTGATGAGGTGGGTGGGGTAAGCGAGCGGTGACCGGGCCGGGGACCGGTTCGGGAACATTGCCAGCCAATGTTATTACCGGTTCTCGGAACAACTACAAATTTTTACTACCAGTTCTTGCGAACCGGTGCAAACCGGGAGCAACCCACCACTGCTCCCACCCCAATTCAGCAGCCTGCGCTACTCAGTATGGAAGCAGGGTTTGCTGCAGGCCTTGTCGATCAAAGAATTTCAGCTGGTGGTAAAAGGAGAACCTTTTCTGCCATGGCTCCAGCTCTTTGAAATATTTTGCTGCATATTTTGCATATTTTGAATATGCAAAAAAGAAAAAGTACTTAAATATACATATAATGACAGCCGCTAGAATTTCCTTTGCCCAGTATTGGAAAGAAAAACAAATACCATCTCAAGAACATGTTATCGGGAAAATTCTGGAGTGCGCTGAAATGAACAAATTGACTTTAGAAATTAATGACAGAGAAGATTCGGAATTTTATAGCATGTGGGACATGTGGTATGAATGGATGGAGAAAAGGAATAAAGAAGGAAACAGAGTATAGAGATTAAGTATTAATTAATCAACAAAGACCATAGAGAAATGAACACTATTACATGTATTTTTGAAGACTGGAGCACTATTATCCTTAATTGTCTTAAAATCAAATTTAACTTTAAGAAATAATATCAAATAAAAGACAAGTAAAAAAGCATGTATGTATATATATATATATGTGTGTGTGTGTGTGTGTATTTGCACCACAGAACCGAAAATGTATTCTGCTACCGGTTC